TTGCTGATATGTACCTTTGCTTTTCCAGATATGGATACTTGCTTTGAATGTCCAGAGGGTTGTTATCCAAACAGCAAGCAGGACACATGTATTCCTAAGTATATCAGTTACCTGTCTTATGAAGAACCTTTGGGCATCACCTTGACCACACTAGCTCTTTTGCTAGCTTTTATCTCAGTGTTGGTCCTACGAACCTTTATGAAGTTCCATGACACACCCATCGTCAAAGCCAACAGCCAAAACATCTCCTGCATTCTTCTCATCTCCCTCCTGCTCTCCTTCCTTTGTGCTTTGCTCTTCATCGGCCAACCCGAGGAGGTGACCTGTCTCCTTCGACAAACTGCTTCCGGCCTCATCTTCTCAGTGGCTGTTTCCTGCATGCTGGCCAAAAGCATCACTGTGGTCCTGGCCTTCATGTCCACCAAGCCAGGGTCCCGAATGAAGAAATGGATGGGGAAAAAGCTCGCATATTCCATTGTTCTCTTCTGCTCCCTTCTTCAAGCCAGTCTGTGTAGTGTTTGGCTGGCAACTTCTCCTCCATTTCTGGATTTGGACTTGCACTCTATAAGTGACCAGATTGTACTTCAGTGTAATGAAGGGTCTGTGACCATGTTTTATTGTGTCTTGGGTTTTATGGGATTTCTGGCTATCATCAGTTTCACAGTGGCTGTCCTGTCCAGGAAGCTACCAGATAGTTTCCAGGAAGCAAAGTCCATCACCTTCAGCATGTTGCTGTTTTGCAGCATGTGGGTGTCCTTTGTTCCCACCTACCTGAGCACCAAGGGGAAGTACATGGTGGCTGTGGAGGTCTTCTCCATCTTGGCCTCCAGTGCTGGCCTTCTTGGTTGTGTCTTTTTCCCCAAATGCTACATCATCCTCTTGTGGCCAGATCTGAACAAAAAGGAGCAGCTAATAAAAAGGTAAAAATGATCAAAATTTTGAGAGCATCATGTAGGAAGTATAATATAGAAATATCCATATCTGCAATGTTCTATCTAGAAAGGGATAGATAGATGTTTAAATAATCACCAAATAGATATCTTTCAAGAAATAAAA